TTTTTTTTCTTCTTTCTTCGTGTGTACATGCTTATATTGATTTTTTTTTTCTTTTTTTTTGTGTGTGTTACAATCTTTGATTGATTTTTTTTCTTGTTCGTTCGTTTGTTTGTTTTTCGATTTTTGGATGATGTTGTTGTTTTTTTGGTTTTTTTTTATTCTTGTATTCTTGTATTTTCTTCTTTTTTTTCTGTGTACATCTTTATTGTTTTTTTTCTTGTTTCTTTGTTGTTTCTGTTTTCGATTTTGGAGTTTGTTTTTTTTTTGTGGCGTTGTTTGTGCTTATTTTATTGTATGTTTAGGGTTTTGTTTGTTTTTGTTTTTTGTTGTTTTTTTCTTTCCTTTCTTGTCTCTCTTCTTCTTCTTCTTCTTTATTCTGTTTTCCTCTACTGATGTTACATTATCATATATTATCTATTATCATCCATTATTATTTTATTATTGTTGTTATCGATTATTCATTATTTACTATATCATCATTATCATTGTTACTATTATCATAATCATTATCATTTTATTATCATTTATGCATTATTATTACCCCTATTTTTGTATCATCTTTTTCAATTTTTAGTGTTCGTTTGTCTCTATTCCTTTTTTTTTGTCTTCCTATGTTCATCATTAGTACAAAAATGATAAAAAATGATGCTCAGCCTTTTCAAAATTACACCGCTAAACGCATTTCATACAACGCATTCATACTTAAGAATAACATTAAAAATTTCAGCACAAAAAAAAAAGAAAAAAATCTCACCCACATTCATAATTTTTTTTCAAAAAACTTACAAAGAAATTTTAAAAACATTAAAACATTCTTCTTTACAATTTTTTTTTTTTTTTTTTATCACAACGATCCCTCCATCTCACGCCCCGCCCCCTTCCTCTCCGCCCGCAGTGATGGTGAGAGCGGGTACGTGGCTCGTGCTTGTGGGCGTCGTGGTCGTGTGCGCGCCGCCTCTTACACACGCCCAGGACGAGCGTGGCGGACAGGAGAGCGACGGGCGCGCCCTCCGGATTCCTGGAGAATGAGAGGTAGGAATTCCTTGTCCATCACAGTCTCGTTGTTTTATTTATGATGCGCTATCACTAGTAGATATGGAGATGGATATGATAGATGCATGGGATAGATAGATAGTGATGGATAGATAGATAGATAGATAAGATATGTAGACAGATAGATAGATAGCAGATTATGAATAGATAGATAGATAGATGAGATAGATAGATAGGATATCATAATAGATACATAGATAGATAGATAGATCTATGAATAGATAGATAATGGATAGATAGATAGATAGATAGATAGATAGATAGACAGATGGATAGATAGATAGATAAGATAAGTAAATATATAGATAGATAAAATAGATGGATAGCAGCTATGACAGATATATAGTTAGTAGAGAGATAGCACTAGACTGGGATTGATAGTATAGATAAGATAGATATCTTAAGCTACACTGACACTTAGAGTTTAGTCCGATGCTCCTTAGAACAATTAGACAGATAGGATAGATAGACTCTCCTGATTAGTTAATTATTATATCCACTATGACCCATAAATTATACTCTTCTATCTCAGTTTGCATCTGTTACTCTCATAGATTAATGAGCACCTCAGAGAGATGAGAGAGAGAGAGAGGGAGATGAGAGAGAGAGAAGAGAGAGAGAGAGAGAGAGAGAGAGAGAGAGAGAGAGAGAGGAGAGAGTAGAGAGAGTGAATTAAAGATATATATATACATATATGTATTTATATGCACAGATATTCATATAAATAGGTAGATAGATAGATTAGACAGATGGATAGATAGATAGATATAGATAGATAGATTTGCATAAGAATATATAGAGATCATACAGATTTTTCTTCTCAGCTTTCTTCCATTTCTATATAGATATACAGATATAGATTTAAATAGGTAGATATATAAATGAATAGGCATAGATATAGATAAAAAGCTATAACTATAGCTATAGATATAGTTATATATATAAATACATATAGATATAGACAGATATGTATGCACAGAAACAGACACATACACACACACATGCATACATACACTCATACATACATATATATTCATACATACACACAAACACACATACACACAAACACATACACACACACGTAAACAGGACACAACAACTCGTAAATATTTTGTCTCTTAATCTAGCCTGTTTCAACCTCAGACTACCTCCGATCCCACTAAAGAGCGTTCTCACTGTAGACTAATTCCTAAAATGTACATAATTATTCATGGAGTGGACTGGAATCTTAAATTCTTTGGATTCCGGCCCGAGCTGGTATATTATCCTAATCCTTGCTGTGTAGACTGCGGTTGGATTTTAGGATTCATATTAAGGATAGAAGGATTAGCAATGGCTCTCTTTTCTCTTCTTTCTCTTCTCTTTCTTCTCTCTCTCTCTCTCTCCTCTTTTCTCTCTCTCTCCTCTCTCTTCTCTCTTTCATCTCTCTCTCTCTCTCTCTCTCTCT